CACACGTTCATCGAGGATAAAATGAAGTTAGTCATAAGTTGTGCCAGATGGGGAGAGTTGGTCCATGTATTGTTGTTTGGCTCCGAGTTGGGCCAGCGAAGATCCAAGAGCTTTGCTCCAAGGACTGTAATAACTTTGATTGATCAATGATATTATCCCTTTTGCAAAAAAAGAGGTGAAACTTTATGATAGAAAACAACATCATTTTTAGATGCCCAAATTGATTAAGCTAGCATTTCAAAAATGGATCAGCCAATACTTGGTCTCCCCCTTCTTTTGCCCTAACCCAACAAGGATAAAAACATCAAAGCATGTTGGACATCTCGACCATCCGAGCTTCTTTCGAACACAGCCAATTAAATTGTTCGAGGGGTAGACTATGGGAATCTCTAGTCAATTGATCCTCAAAAGTATCTAAGTCCCTAAAAAAATTCGGACCGTAGCCAAAAAGCAACTCCTCCCATCAATATATTAAGGCATGTTTCGGGTTTGAAGCCCTAAACCATCTTAGGGTAGTTGACTTACGGTCCCAACCAAGGGAAGGGATGGAAAGATACACCCTTTTTCAGTGAGTGATGCACAAATTCATTTTTGTTTTTTTACATTTTATAAATTTTATGTGTCAGAAGAGGCAGAACAACTTTTTTTTTGCAGGACAGAAGAGGCAAAACATCACGCTAGAAAACGACATCATTTTTTCATTGCCCAAATTGAAGCAAGCGCTCCAAAAATAGCACAACCAACATAGTTAGTTTTTTCTCCTCATTTCCCCCAGCTCAACAAAAATGAAAACATCAAAACACATTGGAAATCTCATCCAGAGTTTCTTTCGGACACCACCCATTAAATCGAGTGAGGGATAGCCTAAGGACATCTCTAGTCAGCCGGTCCTCAAATTCTCTAAGCACACAAATCTATCATCCTCAAATCATGCCCCCTCAAATGATCATCTTTTACAGTGACTTTGAGATATGTAACTCATCACCTCTTGCAAACCCTGGCGGAGCTCCTCCCATTCATCTAACCCCGCTGCCATGAATGAATAACGAAAGGTAAGCTCACAGTAACCATCACTGATGACTTGGTCAACTGTCACATTTTGTTGATCAAGATTTATAAAGTGATTAAACTAGAATCAAAGAACAGCCTTGATCCATCCAAAATATTTAGTTCCCCAAACCACATCCCCAAAAATCATGGGTATTGGGAGGGTGGTACCTAACCCATCCTCAAAACCGAGTTCCACTTTTTTTAATATAATTCTCACCTTATTTTACATAAAACAAAAATATTTTAACTACATTTTCACATTACTGTAGAAAACAAAGAAAAGAAGAAAGAGGAAATTTCTATTGGCCATTGCATCAAACACATTCCGTCTAACGCCGACCAGAGAGCACGGTGGCATGCGTGAGCTTGCCATAGATGCTTCGGTGGTCGGAGGTGGGGCGGATAGAGACATAGAGGTGCCATGACCGAATATTCGACCTCGCTGAAACTCGAGGACATGGCGGTGTAGGAAATGACCAAAGCATCAGAGGAGGTGCGTTGGGTGCAGGTGGAGTCTCGGCGAGTGGCAAGGCGTGGCGGCGGACACAAGCTCCGGCTCAGTGGCCTTGATAGAAGAAGGCTTGGGATGCGGAGATAAACAACTATGGCACCAAGAATGCATGGGGATGCCATGATGGGGCATGGGCGGTCGACGAGGTCATAGATGTCATCGGTGGTAACTTTGGCAGGACTGGAGGTGGCAGTTGGGGAAGGATATTTCATCTGCCAAATATTTTATATCAGGAATTAAGGATGGGGAGGGAACAAGACCTCCCACCTCATTGGAATCGCATGATGAGTTTTTTGGTTTGTGAAAATGGTATTTTGAACAAAATGGTATTGGGAATAGGTAGATGGCTATAATACCCTAAAGAGACATCTTTTTGGAAACTAATTTATTTTTTAGGATGCCTTAGAGATATTATAAGTGGAGATTTGTCCAACCCAAACATAATCCTAGAAATCAATGTCTAAACCATCTTCTGATGGAAAGACTATACTAGCCTAGACTCAGTTTTGACCGAGTAATGCGGTGACAGGGAGTACGGATGAAAATCGTGCGGAAGACAATTATTATTTTTTGGTTTTCTTATGCATGTATAAATGAACATGAAAAATCTCTGAAACAAATAAGCAGATTCATCATAGATACGGTGTGGAAACAAGTAGGAAAACAAAGTTTACTGGAACTAAAAGCCGGTTGTGGCTTTGCCTTTTTTATTTTAGCTCTTTTGGAGCCTTTTATTTCTTTCTTTTGTTCGAGACTTGGAGACTTATGTTGGATATTTTGCCTATTAATAATATTGGCCGCATGCATCATTCAGATGCAGAGGCTGGGGCATACCCCTCTTTTCGAAAAAAAAACTAAAAGCCCAAGGAACCACACAGAAGGAACACAACCAAATCAAAGAAAAAATAGTTCCATTGCCAAGGAAGAGATAACACAGCGTGCTGGAAAGCAAACATCAGCATGTGGTCATAGGGATGAGGATCACGCAATTTGGTTGGACCAGAAGTGTGTATGAACTAAGATTGTGTGGCTATATAAAAAAGATAAACGAAAATGGCATTTCTGATATAGAAACTTATGTTTTGTTATTTTTTTGTTTCTTAATTTTTTTTCTGTTTTATAGCATACCTATGCTCCATTTATTTCTTGTTTTCGACGGGCAAAATAAAGTTTTCACCCTGTTTCCAGAGCAGTTTGTGATTCACAAATCCCAATTACCACATATGATTTATCTATTTGGTCGTTGTTTTAGAAATATTGACCTCTTAGGTTTGTATTAAATATTTTATATCCTTTTTCACATCGGAACCCCTCTTTATTCATTTGAAACCAATGTTACATCCTTTACAATAAGGGGAACGATCGATGGTCGGGCATCATCAATTAAAACACTAGAGGGTGAAAAAATTGCTACGAAAGCAAGTTCATGTGCTATCGTATTTGCTGCTCTATGCCAGTGCTCTATGTGCGAAAAATCTCTCAACATGTGATAAGAATAATAAAAAATAGCCGCTCCATTTCCTGAAAAACTGCCCCACTTCTTGCATCACCTCAATGACGTCTATATTATCTTAGTTCACCAGCAGCCCTTTGCATCCCAAGGACTGCGCAAGATTAAGGCCAAACTTCAGTGTTATGGCTTCTGTTGATAAAAATGTTGGAGCACCATTCAATGAGGCTATTAGCTGCAGTAATGAACTTCTGAACCGAATCTTGCAAGATAGTTGCGACTGCAACCCGCGCCAACATTGAGTTTGACGTAACCCCTAGGAGGAGCTGACCAACCATCGCGCCTGACAGAGGCCCTCGACGAGTAAGAAACATAATAGCTGAATACCAAAGCTCCGACTACCATAGGGACCTATGTTGGGGTATGAGTATTCTCGTCATGGACTAGTTTTCTACTCTGCACCGGCACACTTCGATAACATGGTCAACTTTTCTCAGTCCAAGCACTTGCGGTCACTGATGCGACTGGTGAAGAAGAAACTACAGGGTAGCCTCACACGAGTGATCAAATTTGCATGCATGTTTGATAATCTCCTCGAAGCCCAGAGCAGACCAATGTTGTCTAAATTTGTCTTGCCACGTACGGCACAACGGTTGCACCTTGATATGTCTATCAGGTAATGTAGCGCGACATGGCAAGATACCATGTAAAGATATCGAGAGGAAAATCATCGCCTTCACTAAAGAGTGCAACTTCCATAATTTCTCCCGTACAGGGTTCAAGTTAGCAGCTCGAATTCCATTCACACTCACAATTTTATGTCGAATTGACGTAGACATTTTGCATGGTATGCTATCCGTACCAAGACGGTGCCCAATTTAGTCAAATTTCATGCAATAAAATAATCCATCTCATGAACCAATAGAGGTATTGAAAGAATGCAACGTGCATCTACCTCCAAAATGTTTCACCAATCAACTGTTCGCCCCACTCGCCAGTTGTTGGATCGATAAAATTGGATGTTAATAGCTAGTTTGTTCTTCTGGTAATAACCATCCTTGAAGGAGACATAAATATCCCATGCATCATTTTATATATTTATAATGTCATCATCACCAACTTTCCATACATGACCATGTTTCACAGTTTCTTCTCCCGTTAAGATGCTCTGTCAAGTATAAGACGACCTTTTCTTTGTCTTTGCATTTGGTAATTCTTCATAAAGATATTTTTTCTCTTGGCGATGGGCATAGATACACACAAGATTCTGGGTTGTCAATTACTCATCTAAAGCTTGGTTTGTCAAAAGCGCCATGTTGAAGCAGTGAATTTCAGCCGCAGAAAAAAAAAGAAGCAGTGAATTTCCTGAAACCCCATGCTCCCTGTTGTTTTTAGGTGTGTTTGGTTCACGAACAAAGTGGGATGAAATATTATGGTTTCATTCTACTAGAATGGATCGGTTTCATTCTTCTGTTTGGCAGGAGCGACTGGAAGGAATGCAATTGTTACATGTTGGTGTTTGGTCTCAGAGATATGATAGAATGGAATTGTTCATCTCACCTCTCTCATTTATGTACAAATTGTTCATCTTCACCCGACACAAACACAACACACGGCCAAATATCTTATCCACTGGTAGACATATCCCTGTTTCCTTAACCGAAGATCCGCTGTCCTGGAAGGAACTGGAATACATCGTCGTTTCGGGTTTTCCGCGGCCTGTGCTCTTCTCGTGACCCCACGTGCCTGTGCTCTTCTCGTGACACGTTGCATGCCACACGTCGACCGACCACCTCGTTGCGCGCCACACCATGTCGGACCCAGACGCTTCCGGCGGCCACGTACCCGAGCACGTGTAACGGCGTAAGCGAGCTCACCGCCGTCGTTTAAGAGAGCATCCGCCGGCCGCACCAACCTCAGCACGAACACTTCACTGCATCTTCATCATTCACACTCTGCAGCGAGGGAGCGAGCAAGCATTGAAGCGCCATGGGTCAAGGCACGGAGGTGAAGACGAGGGAGGACCCCAAAGTGGAGATCCAGGTCGATCAATCGATGGATCTTAATCTGAAGCAGTTAGTCCTCTGCAGTAACAATGGCGATGGCGGCTGATTGATGCAAGCTTTGCGTGCAGGAGAAGGGCGAGGTGTTCTTCTTCTACCGGCCCAAGGTGGACAAGGAGGAGGCGCACAGCCCCGACGACGTGCAGCGGATGTACGTCGTGCTGCGCCCGGAGTCCGGCCCCGGCCGCGCCGTCGAGGAGAAGCAGGCGCCGGACTCCGGCAAGGAGGGCAAGAAGAGGAAGACCCGTCACGGCGGCGATGAGAAGGGCCAGGCGGACGGCGGCAACGAAGGCGGCCACGGGAAGGAGGTGGCGAACGAGATCGTTCATTCTCAGATCTCTATACACGTCTGAGAAATCTGCACATCACTTACTCGCCGATTAATCCTTTGCATTGCAGGAGGTTAACGTGGAGGAGAAGCCGCTGCTCCGGCTGATCGTTATGGGGAAGAAGAGCCTGCCGGACCCGGCGAAGCACGGCCGGCCGTTCTGGGGCTACGTCGACCTCGTCACCACCGACGTGGAGGACATCAAGGACGCGCTCAAGGGGGCGGAGTACGACACGGCGACGCGCGGCAAGCGGCACCTGGCCGCGGCGAGGGCGATGGGCGAGGGCGTGTACCGCATCCTCAAGCACGAGGGCCGCGGCGGCCGCCCGCACACCCACCTCGTCTACAAGCTGGAGCTGCCCTCGCGCGGCGGCGGCGGCGACGAGGGCGGCGTCGGGGAGCCGCAGGAGGCCATGAACGTGGAGCCGGAGGCGTCGTTCCTGGTGCAGATCAAGAACCCGGAGCAGCGCGGCGGGGGCAGGGGCGGAGGCGGAGGGTTCGGCGGGCTGCAGGGCAAGCGGAAGGCCGCGTTCCCGGAGCACCTGCAGGGGCGGTTCGGGAGCAACCGCTACGCGCCGGCCGACCCGCCGGACCTGCTCAACTACGAGGGGTGCGAGCTGCTGCTGATCTCGGCGTCCGACGACGTCGAGGAGGAGCTGGGCCTGGAGCTGCAGACGGAGACGGAGGAGGAGACTGAGGAAGGAGCCGGTGACGGCGGCGAGGGCGGCCGCGCCGGGGCCGGGTGCTCGGACCTGGTGAAGATGTTCGGCGAGGTGGCCGACGTGAAGCCGCTGCTCAGCGGGAGCTGGGACTAGTTTAGCTCGACTAGCAGCAGTGCAGTAGACTACGTAGCGAGGTTAGCTAGGTAGGTTACAGAGGAGGCCATGTTTTAATGGTTGTGTAGCTTGGCAGAAGCTCGCTCTGCAGTTCTGCAATTGTGACGCGTTGTTTCCATGTATCGCATGTATCGCAGCAGTGTTCGACTTAATTTACATCGCTTGTTGAAGTGTGATATTGTCCATACTGGAGTATCTGGTCATCTCGATTCAGGTTTAGGTTTGGCATTGGTTTATGTAGAGCTCAGGGAGTTTTAGGTTTTTGCTATTGCAAACACGCAATCCACATCAATCGATCACTTGGCAAACTCTGGATATATAACAGTTATTATGAAAATAAGCATCAAAGTGGCTGTAGTTTAGTGGTGAGAATTCCACGTTGTGGCCGTGGAGACCTGGGCTCGAATCCCAGCAGCCACATTTCTCTTTTTCTTTTCCTTTTTGCATTTGTATCTGTTGTTGTCTTTCAAATATTGATATTTTTGGGTTAGTATTTTAACTATTTCCTACTCCCTCCGTTTTAATGCACTGCGTATACTTTTTGTCAAAAGTAGGAAACTATAAACTTTGGACATGTTTATAGGTAAAATATGTACACTCAAAAAATAGCAAATGCATATCTTTTTCCCAGAAGATAATGACAGCAAATGTGTATCACCGGATACATCATCATGTAAATTTTATGTTGTATATGCTTGAAATTATATACATGAATAATTATTTTCTATAAACAAGATCAATTTTTTTTGCTTGGTTCACATTTCTCTCTTTTTTTTCCTTTTTGCATTTGTATCTGTTGTTGTCTTTCAAATATTGATATTTTTAGGTTAGTATTTTAACTATTTCCTACTCCCTCCGTTTTAATGCACTGTGTATACTTTTTGTCAAAAGTAGGAAACTATAAACTTTGGCCATGTTTATAGGCAAAATATGTACACTCAAAAATAGCAAATGCATATCTTTTTCCCAGAAGATAATGACAGCAAATGTGT